GGTCTTGGACACGCAGCCCTCTTGGCACTCACCTGGGGTGAAGCAGGTTCTCCCCAGACCTCAAGCTGGGAAATAGCAGTCGCCCCCTTTCCCTTCCACCTCGGGTTCCAGATCGAGGGTGGCCCACGTGCCAGACGAGCCCTTGGGCTTGCAGCCCATTCTGACTTGTGTTCTTCCCTTTTCTGCAGCATCATCATGACCATCTCCTCCACGCTCCTGGCCCTGGCCCTGATGCCCCTGTGCCTGTGGGTCTACAGCCGGGCTTGGATCAACACGCCCCTGGTGCAGCTGCTGCCCCTCGGGGCGGTCACCCTGACGCTCTGCAGCACCCTCATCCCCATCGGGCTGGGCGTCTTCATTCGCTACAAGTACAACCGGGTGGCTGACTACATTGTGAAGGTCAGCTCACTCCTCCTTTCCATACTTGGCAGACTTGGAGTCCTTGGTCCTGAGCCGGGCTGAACGCTAGGAAGTTTGGGAAAGAGGGGTGAGGAAGAAAAGGATTTGGCAGGCCTTGCATGGATACACTTAAAAAAAAAAAAGTTGATGCTCAAAGATAACTTTCACCTTTTTGAATTTCAGAAATTATAGCTTTAAGACACAGATCAATTAAAAACAGCACAAGAGAGCTTGGTACTCATAGGAGGAAACAGGTCATAGGGAAATGGATGGCAGTGCATAAAATGGAAACATTTTCCATGAACCACTCGTGTGTTACAGAACAAGCAGGCGAAATGAAATTGTTTTAATAGGATTTGTACAGTACTGAAGAAATGCGTTACTAATAGAATTTGTACTGTATTTTAGAAATGTGTTACGCAGTGTTTTAAAGGTGGAACTCTAATTCTGAGAAACTGTACACAGCTGCTTTAAAATGCTTTATTAATTTTCTAAAAAATAAGTTGATATTAATAAGACCAAAAGTAATTTAAAAATCACATCATGGCAATATAATAGAATGCACAAAGTATGAACTTTAAAGCACAAAATAAAATTAGGTCATGGATAAATAGTACAGGCTATATTGCTATTAATAAATTTGTGTTTTTCTCCTTCCTCATTACAATTCTTTGATTTCTAAAGGTAGTGAAAGCATGGGGATTTCTACTATTTTATGCAATATTTCCAATATTGCTTAAAAAAAAAACCACCTGATGCTTTTTGTAGCAGGAGAGATTTTGTAACAGGTGACTGGAGGAAATATTTAAATATTTCTAGATTAAGCTTTCTTTGAAAACTGAAACAGCAGTAAATAAGAGTAAACAATGAACAGCATTCTCATTTTAGGAGGTTGGTAACATACAGAACTAGCCATTGTAAAATGCACATGCAAATTCCTTTACATGAGAGAAAATGAGTCTCTCCAATGTTTCAATTTAGGTTTAATAAGACATCTTTTGTGTTTTACTTACATTATTTTCTAAAGTAATCTGATTATACAGAGGGGCAAACTTTTATTAATATGAAAAATAGAGGGTTCTCTTTAAAAATTTTTTTTTTATTGATTTCAGAGAGGACGGGAGAGGGAGAGAAAAATAGAAATATCAGTGATGAAAGAGAATCATTGATCGGCTGCCTCCTGCACGCCCCCTACTGAGGATCGAGCCTGCAACCCAGCATGTGCCCTTGACTGGAATCAAACCAGGACCCTTCAATTTGCAGGTTGACACTCTATCCACTGAGCCAAACCAGCTAGGGCTTCTAACAAAGCTTTTGATGCGAGCACACTTTGAAACTTAATATAAGTTTTGATTTATAAGTTTGGCTTTTGTCAACTGTACATTGGTAGCATGAGTATTTTATATAATAATTATTCAGCATCCTCTAGAGTAGACTTTTAATGAGTCCAGATAAATTTTAACTACTTTTTAAAAGAGTATAAAGTACTATATATGCCAATCCCACACACCCCTAAGGGGTTTCCCTTCAGTCGTCCAGGGAACCAGAAACAACCATTTAGAAAAACAACCTCACCCCCAATCTGAAGAACTAGGAGAGGAAATCTTTTAAAATGTTTTTATTCACTTTAGAGGGAGAAAGAAGCATCACTGAAAGAGAAACATCAATCGGCTGCCTCCTGCATGCCCCTACTGGGGATCAAGCCTGAAACGGGGCGTGTGCCCCTATTGGGAATCAAACCAACGACCTCCTGATTTTGGGGAAGATGCTCAACCAACTGAGGCCACACTGACTGGGCATAGGAGAGGCATTTTTAGGTTTCTACCTTGCTATTTTTTACACAGTCTGTTTTACTTGAGGGAGTGAAATGTACCAGTCAAGATGACACAATGTTTTTATAAGTGAGTTGTTTTATATTGAAAATCATTTACTAGCCCTAGTTGGTTTGGCTCAGTGGATAGAACGTCGGCCTGCTGACTGAAGGGTTCCAGGTTCGGTTCCAGTCAAGGGCACATGCCCAGGTTGCGGGCTTGATCCCGGGTGTGCAGGAGGCAGCCAGCCAATCAATGATTCTCTCTCATCATTGATGTTTCTGTCTCTGAGGGGCCCCCCCAGCCAATCAATGATTCTCTCTCATCATTGATGTTTCTGTCTCTCTCCCCCTCTCCCTTCCTCTCTGAAATCAATAAAAAAAAAATCATATTACTATAATAACCCAGAAGCATCACTAGAGACTCATAGGTGGGAGGTTTCTCACAAACAGATGAAAAAGGGGGAATTGCAAATTTGCAATGAATACTTTACATCTAGCGTTTACATTCCCCCCCTTATGTAATCTGAGAGTTAATTGTTTTGATACTGCTAACAATTCTCAGAGGTAGACAGTATTTTGAAGGTGAGAAATATCACAACTTGATTTCAGACATTTTTAATAGCCTGTTATCTCATGTGTAAAATCAGAACTAATTTCTCATGGAAAAGATGGGGTCCTGTTTAGGGAAAGTCATGTCCATTTGTCCACTCTGTTCACCAGACCGACCACACCTGGTGTATTGGGCTCCGTTCTAACTGCCCTGTTAGTGAGAGGCACATTCACGAGTTCAGCGTGTGCTCGGAACAGTAAAAACTCCAAAACAGAGTTACACGATGGAGGCTGAGAGCCTGGAGACAGTGCTGGAGAAGAGTAGCCTTCCTGGGTAACTGTCTGTAGACTCCTGAAGGCTGTTTGCAGGTGGAGCCGTCTGTATTGCTTCTGAGGGCCTGTCCATGACAATGGCTTGCGGTTATAGAAGGAAGGTTGTCACTAGATCACTAGACATAAGAACAGGCCTCCAGACAATCAGAGCTGTGCCGCGCGGCTGTGGAGGCCTCCCGCCCAGCAGTCTGCCCTTCCTCGGGGGTCCTCTGTCAAGGACTTGACCGCAAAGATCTCCATTTTGTGTGGGAGGTCAGACTAGATGGGTGCCTCTTCCAGTGCTGGGAGTCCCTGGCCTGAATTCCCCTTCAACTGTCTTTTTTTTTTTTTTTTTTTGATGGCTTGTTTATCCCTTTTCTATCACCAGGTTTCCCTGTGGTCTCTGCTAGTGACACTGGTGGTCCTTTTCATAATGACCGGCACTATGTTAGGACCTGAGCTGCTGGCGAGTATTCCTGCAACTGTTTACATGATCGCGATTTTTATGCCTCTAGCAGGCTATGCCTCGGGCTACGGCTTAGCCTCGCTCTTCCGTCTCCCACCCAACTGCAAGAGGACCGTCTGCCTGGAGACGGGCAGCCAGAACGTGCAGCTCTGCACCGCCATTCTCAAGCTGGCCTTCCCACCACGGCTCATAGGGAGCATGTACATGTTTCCCTTGCTCTATGCCCTTTTCCAGTCTGCAGAAGCAGGGATTTTTGTGCTAATATATAAAATGTATGGAAGTGAAATACTGCACAAGCAAGATCCTCTCGATGAAGATGAAGACACCGATATTTCTTATAAGAAACTGAAAGAAGAGGAGATGGCAGACACGTCCTATGGCTCAGTGAACGCAGAGAGCTTAATGATGGTGGAAACCGCTCAGACTGCTCTCTAAGCGTGGAGACACACAGGAGCATCTGTCCTGAAGTTTTACTTCGTATTTATAGTCTGTGGTAGTGTATATGGTTTACCTAAAGGGTAACAATTGGCTCACAATACCATACTTGTAACAGTTTTGAACTTACCGCTGTAAGGCCGCCTTGGTATATTCACTAAGCGTTTTCACCAATTACAAGTCAGTGTCGTATTATAACTTGCACCTGGGACTGCGCACGCACGTGAAGCCTGAACAAGTGAAGTGTGCTCTTTGGTTTCAACCATTAATCGATTTCTATGACTGTTTCGAAGATGTCAACTCTCAGAAAATGGGGTTTGGGAAATGCAGAATTTTGGTGCACTATCTTATATGAGTAAAAACAAGCTATATTTGTAAAGCATCATTGAGTTTAATGTAATTGTTGTAAAAAAAAAGTGTGCTAGCTTAACTTATGAATACTTGACAATGTTGAAATTTGACCTGTATTTAGAAAAATCCCCAAACAGGTCAATTAAATAATGACATACAGTATTTTAGTGTCAAACCTGTTTCAAGTCAGAAAAAAATACACTAACATATTTGATTACTTGATCTGATATCTCTTGATGAACAGACAACATTTTTCTGGTGGACAGAGCGCATTTTTTTTTTTTTTTCAATTGGGGACTGACTTGGCTGATTGCATTTATGTTAACACACCCCCAATCAATTTACTTCTTGGAGAGATGGTTAGATTAGGAAATTTGTAGAACTACTCTCTACCCCAAAGAATAGTCATTAGTACCTCCAGGTACTCAAGAGCACCTCAAGGCCCACGTATGAGGTGGGGCGTGTGTAGGGGTGGGAGCACGTGCCCCAGGAGATGACAATTAGTCTGGACATGGGTGACCTAGAGCGCTTCCCACACGTGCAGGAAGGCTTCATAGGTAGACTTCCCTGAGCTCATTGAATAACCTATAACCTGAGATCAGAGGTAACCCAACCAAACCTTCGCATTTGCTCACTGGCCAGAGGCAGGGAGCCTCGCCTCCGCTTCCTGGGCGTGCAGACCCCGAGGACAATCCAGGGATGGGGACCACCTGGCTCAGCGCATCCAGGTGGTAATTCTCTTCCCCGTGGGCAAGTTCGCGTAGAAATCAGTGCGTGCATCTCAAAGAAGCCTCCTTCCAGAACATCTCAGGGTATCTGTGCGGACCTCCGGGGGGAGGAGGGGAGGAGGGGAGCAGCCCTCCCGGCTGGGCCGCCCGGGCCGAGCGTG